GTTATTCTTAATGTACCTCCATTTTATATTTGGAGAATGAGAGACATGAAATGGTTAAGTGACATCCTCAGGACACCTCATGAGTTAAAGGTAGAGTCAAGACAAGAGCCCAGATGCACAAACACCCACCAGGCACCACTGAACTGGCCAGATAATAAGAGGGCCAGTTGCTGAGGGGGCAGGAACTCCAAGATAAATGGACTGAGTCTAGGCTCAGAGAATTTTTAGCTCCCTCAACAGATGAAGGAACTTGAAATTAACTCATCAAACTCTCCCAATGCTTGGCTCAGGAAATTGGAGCTTCCAAGTTCAAGTGAGAAGTTATGGAGGAAGAATTCTAAGATGGCATAAAGAAGACTAGACAAATGGCATGTTCTCACAGAAAGGGCATGAGCTCTGGAGGCAGACAGTCCCAGCTTTGAATCCAATTCTACCATCACCAGCTCGGACCTGAAGCAATTTACTAACGTCTCCAAGACTCAGTTTCCTCTTCTACGAAACAAAAATGGTAATAACCATCTTGCAGAGTTGATGTTGAAACTGAAGATGTTTTATAAGCCCCAAACATGAACGCTAGTCCATAACAGGCGGCGCTCAGAAACAAGCCAACAAACAAAATGCCTGTTACAAGTACGATTCCAGTAAGAACAGAGAGCATTATACATATAGAAGATGTGTGAAGGTTTCCACCAACCTGATGAAAGGAAACCTAAAACCTAAAATAAGATACATGGACAGTGAGGCACTCAATCTGAAGATCACAAGGATAATTTTTTCTGTATGAGAAAAATGCTATCCAGCAACTCACGAGCAGATGTCACCCTGGAGTGGTGCCCTTGACACAGGGCAGACTGCCTTCCATTGTCTGTTCTCTCTCTTACTCTTTCAATTATGGCTTTTAATATTTGATGTTCATCAGATATACCACATACTCCATGGTGCTAAATCCAATGCCATATAGATTATGTTTCTTCCTTAATTGTAGCTGACGGAATGTTACCTTACAAATTGCATATTTAATAGAGTCCCAAGATTGAGGGCAGCTGTAATGCACACTTAAACGTGTCCAAAGACTTAAGAAAGAGTTTAATTACTTAACATCACATCCAATGGCAAGATTTGTGACAGAATTGGCTACTGAAAATGCATTTGGGGGCTCTCACCTTCCAACCAAAAGGTATGTTAAACCAATGTAGTGAGGTGCATTTAGAATTTTATTTAGCAATATAATGGTTGATATTATCTATTTCTCTGTATTAAAGGGGAACCATTCCTTTTTCACATGAAACTGATTTCAAAGGGAGTTACATTTCTGAGAGAGGTACTTGAGAGATCTGTACATGGAAGCCTCAGAGACCACAGATGTTAAATAGTATCAGTATTGAAAGAACCTCAGTGGTCTGCTGAAAGCCTTGAAATATGTACCAATTACATACATGGCTGCAGTCCAGGTGCCATTTAAAGATCTGAGGTAATACAGTGCCTATTTAGAATAATTTGAACATTACCTCCAAAGAGCAATCACATTAAGAAAACAGAATAAGACAAAACAAAACAGGATAGGGAAAACAATTTGATTCCCATTAAAAAGTTAAAAATCCTTACAACTTTCTCACTTCTCTAGGTTGATATAAGTCAGAAGACTTCATGCTGAGGAAGGCCAGGAATATAAAAGGGTAGGTTTTTAAATTAAATTTACCACTCTACAGTTTCCTTTAACACAATCAAAGCCAAACTTTTACAGGGATGTTTTCCCAATAATAAAGTCAAGCAATTTCACCATCTAAGACATTTTCATGTCTACTCAACAGTTTTGTTTACACAGTACCTTATTTTTTTCAAAATTAAATTTCATACTTGTAAATTTTGATCAACAAACTAGTCTTAGTTTCCCAGACTTCCTGCTCAATCCTGAATGGCCTAGAGGGTACTATGAAGTCAGGGAAGTTTGTAAGGGCTCTACTTTCTCTGTCTTCCTCTAAATGTTGGGGTTTCACTAAGCTCCATCTTTTCATCTTCCACTCTCTTCTCACCTACTTTACAGAGTCTCCCTGGGTGATCTTACTCACTTCTCTCTACATGCTGATGACTTTCAACTCTCTACCTACCTCTAGCTCAGCTCTCTTTCCTGAGCTTCAGATTCATATCTCCAAATGCCTCCTAGACATCCCTGCTTGGATATCCCATTCTCAATTCACCCTGAACATCATGGAGCCCTTCTTCTCCAACAAACATACTTCTCTTCCACCTTTCTCATTTTCCTTACTGGTGCCATGATCCAATCACTTAGTCCAGAAACCTGAACACAGTGCTATAAGAATACAGAAGAAACGTCAAGTATAGTAGTAATTTACTGCAGGGAGGGAAAGCAGAGAGGCACTCCAAGTGACATAATGTAATTACAGAGACACCCAAATGAGAAAGAGCATGGCAGGTGTATTATTAATTTGGATTGGGTAGGCTCAACTGAGATGATAAGTAAATCCCACGATCTCAATGGATTTTTTTTTCTCATTAAAAAAATCTGATGCCAATTGGTCAGTTTTATTGCAACATAAATTCAGGACTCAGTCTGCTTCTGTCTTGCAACCCACCATCTTAGATTTCTGCACTTCCTGGATTATAGACAAAACATGAAGAACTCAGACCCTCTCTTAGTTTCCTTGAACCAGAAGTGCCATATCCCTTCTGCTCACTTTTCTGTTGTCAAGTATTTGATCATTGTCCCAACCCAACTGCAAGAGAAGCTAAGAAATATCTTCTCACGTGCCCAGGTAGTGAACACCACTGTCTCTACCACAACATGTTTAGAAAACTATGGGTGGCATATCTGGAAATCAATGGGGATGATGAGGGATGATATGTGTTGTGGGGAATAAGCGGCTCCAGTGCCAGGAGAGCCAGGAAGGAAGGTAAAGTCAGAACCAAAAAAATACCAGAAGGTTTGAGTGGGGTCAAGAGCCTGAGTGAGCATCATGCTGAGGACAATGGGATTTTAAAGATGAGAATAGTGCAAACACAGGGAGATGTAGTCAACAGAGAATCTGTGAGCTCAAACTTCCCGACCTGTGGCACCCAAAATAAAAGGCCAGCTCCTGCTCCCAGGGCCAGCCTAGGGTTCCTATTGCTTTGAGAATCAGTGGAGTCCAGACAAAGGTCTGGAAACCAGCCTAAAAGCAAACAAATGAAAAAGGTCCTGGTGGTACTGTGATCACCATCTCTGGACACTGCATGATTCTCCCTTAAAAAAAAAAAAAAAATATATATATATATATATATATATATATATCTTATTTATTTATTCATGAGAAACACACACAGAGAGAGAGAGAGAGAGAGAGGCGGGGACATAGGCAGAGGGAGAAGCAGGCTCCCTGCAGGAAGCCCAATGCAGAGACTCCATCCCAGAACCTTGGAATCATGCCCTGAGCCAAAGGCAGAGGCTCAACTGCTGAGCCACCCAGGCGTCCCATGACTCTTTCTTAAAGGCTTCGGCCCACACTTCCCTGTTGGCATCCCAGCTCCCAAAGTAGGTTCGCCTCTGTTCTCTCTGGGTTCATTCAGCCTGGCTTTCTTTTTGACTTTAGTGGGTGTGGTTTCTTGCCCCCTTTGCTTCTGAGAAGGCTCCACCTCCAGCCTGTATCCACCCGGGCTGACTTCCACTCTGTTTTACATTCAGCTGTCCTTGGCCAGTTTCGTCCAGCCAAAAGACAAAATAAAAACAGTAACACTTACTGAGTGTTTAATACATGCCTGGCACTGTTCAGGCATTTTACATACATATGATACACACAAATACACATATAAAAATACATGTGACCACCATCCATCAATATATATCATATACGATTAATATATAATGTTATCATATATTATATATACACATGTCTATAAACTCTGTGTATATGGATCACTTCATTCTCAAACCAAGGCCATGAGATAGGTGGTATCAGATCCATCATGCAGCAGAAGAAACGGAGGAAAAAGCAGCTCACCTGCCACATTCACGCAGACTGTAAACTGGTGACACTGGAATTTTAATTGAGGATGCCTGGCTTTTCGCCCCTATGCTACACTACTGAGTAAAGGATGACGGGCAGGAGGGGAGATTGAAACAAGATGGCTTAATGATCTTTTTATATATATATAGATTTTTTTTAAGATTTTATTTATTCACGAGAGACAGAGAGAGAGGCAGAGGAAGAAGCAGGCTCAATGCAGAAGCTCGATGTGGGAGTCGATCCCAGGACCATGGGATCATGCCCTGAGCCAAAGGCAGATGCTCAACCGCTGAGCCACCCAGGCATCCCATGGCTTGATGATCTTAAAAAAAAAAAAGTGCGGATCAGTTGTAACCAGCCTGGGAAGGCAGAAAAAAAGAGTCTCCACTGGAGAGAATTGCAAAGGGGGACAGAAAGCCCACAATTAATCACATAAAGGGGGGGTCTGTCTTCTTTAAAAGGGACAAGCTCCTGGAGAGGATAATGCCTGGATTTTCATCAATGGAATTTCCCATGCGTGGCAGGTGGGAGGCCCGCGGAGATTTGCAGCTGGGTGGGTGAGGGGGAGCCCTGCCTCAGAAAAGTCCACGGGTCTTGGCAGAGCCCCTCCCCCGCCCGCAGGGTGAGGCCCCGGGCAGGACGCGGCGTCAGCCCCACGCACAAACGCGAACTGTTCGCCCGCGCAGCTGGCGCGCGCTTTCAGCGGTCCCTGCGGCTCCCTGCGGCTCCCTGCGGCTCCCTGCGGCTCCCTGCGGCTCCCTGCGGCTCCCAGCCGCTCCCAGCTGCTCCAGGCCGCGGGGGCGGAGCCCGCGGGGCCCACGCCCCAGATGAATATTCAAGCAGGCCCCGCCTGCGAGCCCGAGCCCCGGACCCGGGCGCCCCTCAAGGGGTTAGGGCGGGGAGGGAGGTGGGAGGAAGGGCCTGCCCGGGAGGACGGCCGGGGAGGGAACCGCCGGGGACCCGGGCGCGGGGCGGCTGGCGCGGGCGAGGTCGGGCGAGGTCGGGCTGGTGAGGGCCTGGGTGCACCTTGCGGCCCCGCCCCACCCACGGGCACCAACCACGGGCACCAACCACGGGCACCCGAGCGCTCTTCCTAGCCCTGGGAACCGTGCAAACCAAGAGAGGGCTTCGGCTGTGTTCACTGCTACTTCGTGACTCCTCTGGGTTAATAACGTGCCTCTCTGCAAACGGACCGGGTGCAGCTATGTTAATTTGTGCACTCTCATGATCTAATCTACGACTTCTGGGTGGGTGTCAGTCTTTGCCTGAGGCTGGAAACTTTCAACTTTTTTCTTTTTAAGATTTTATTTATTTATTCATGAAAGACACACAGAGGCAGAGACACAGGCAGAGGGAGAAGCAGGCTCCATGCAGGGAGCCCGACGTGGGACTCGATACCAGGACTCCAGGATCACGCCCTGGGCCAAAGGCAGGCGCTAAACCGCTGAGCCACCCAGGGATTCCAAGGCTGGAAACTTTTAACTAGACTTTTATAATACATATACTCTTAGATCTAATTGGGACATAATTGGGGAATTAGCCATACCTGTTGATGCTCATATTTGACTCTATTATTTTTATTCATGGAGAAATGACCCAGCACAGATCATCTGAAAGAGTAGATCGCTCCGAAAAGCATTTCATGGACTTATAATACCAGGTAGGTTTTTGGGAACGTGCATTCAGTCTTTTGTTGTTAAGTCGGTAAGAGGTCACTTTAGAATTCGTTTTAAGAGAAAACACTGGGAACTTTGTTGAGTGCATCTTTTCCATTAATCCCTCCATTATGAGAGAGGCTCTGCTTCTTACCTACAGATTGGAAGTGGACCAAATAACATTACTGAGAGGAAACCAACGAATAAGAGGAAAGAATGTAGTGTGAAAGCACTTAGCTACTTTAAATGAGGGCACACTCCTCCCCCATCTTACTTTCATCCCAGAGAATTGAACACACATGCAGATGTAAAGGTACAACCACTGTAAGCAGCCATGAGACCTTATGGAAAGTAGGGACCAAAGGACACAAACAAATGTCCCAGTAATCATAGATTCTGGAGATCATAGACTGATACATTTACCATTAATCCCCAGCAAAATTCTAGATTGAATAGCTAAGCAGGCAGCTAGTGAGCACTTAAAAAAGATGACCACTAGGAACCAACAAGAACTTGACCAAGAACTGGCGAAGCCAAAGTTTATTTCCTTCTTATGTCTTTTTAAAAAATGAAGTGCCTGATTAATATATCAAATGCCAAAAAACATAGAACACCTTGACAAAAGGATAGCCTGTTTATCTTCCCCCACCTTTTTTTTTCTTTTTTTCAATATTGGATCAGGGGTCAAAGTGAGCAAATTGAGCATTTGGCAGCCAAAAAAGTAAACTCGAGATCCAGAAAGAATTGGGTTTAATTCCAAGCTCTACAACTTACTAGTTGTGTGACACTGGGCACCTCTGAGTCTCACTTTTCACAGCTGCAAAATGGGAATAGAATATCTACTGGACAGGTAAGAAAGAAAATACAGTATGCAACACGAGTTCTCAAGAGAGGGCAACTATTATTAAGATATGATGTAAAATGTAAAAATTCAAATACAAATTCAGGAAAGAGAAGGACTGAATTCAGTGATTCATACACAAATATTTTTTTAATTTACTGAAAGTTCAGTGTGAAATAACCAAGTAACATGTTTCAAGTACAGACTGAAACTTATTAATATAAGTATGTGCAAACCCAAAAGGAAGAGTCCCAGTTGATTCCATTTGGTCAGATCCTATCTAAAATTCTTTGTCCCTTTCTGAGTAGGATACTTGAAGTGTAGCAAGGAGACATTAAACAACATTTGGGATAGTGGGAGACCCAGAAACCACAATATCTGACAAATACTCAAAAGAAACAGTGGTGTTTATCTAGGAGAAGAGATTAAATGATAGCTGCCTTCTGATATTTGAAGAGCTATGATGTGCAATAGGGCATAAACTTGGTCTGCACAACTCCAAATAATAGAATTGGGACAAATGATTGGAAGTCGCAATGAGATCGATTTTGGACTCAACGTGTAAGGTGTTCAACAATGCAAGGAACATTCTTGAAAAATAGTAAGCTCACAATTACTGAAAGTATTCTCACAGTGGGAAGAGGCCAGCTCTCAAAGATAGTGTGATAAGGGATTTTTGTACTGGAAAAGAGAGTGGCCTAGTTTTAGATTAGAGTTAGTAATATACCATATGTATGCCAACCTCTACCCAGCCATGGCAGACATGACTAATCAATGATAGTTTTTTTTTTTTTCCCTGCTGAACTAAGTTTAGCCTGGCAATCTTTTTCCATGCATGCTCCAAGCTGTCACCACCAACGAGTTCATCAAAGTTGACAACCCACCTAACCCAGATGATCCCTTAGAGTCTCAAAGACCCCAAAACTTAAATATCTCCCCCATATTATAACTATAAAATATATCTGTAAACTAACTAGGAGAGCCACAGTTAAGTGCAAAAATATTTTCATATATCTGTGTCTGTATATGTGTTAATGTCAAATATGTGCCTTTGTGTGTCCACGTATGTGAGATAGATCATAGGATTAAATGAAACAGGAATCACGTGAGGGAAATAACTCATTTTCTACAAGAGCTCTTAAATAGTGAATCCCAGTTGAATCATGCTAATAGTTCATGGCATTGCTTTATGAATACCCATCTGTTTCTTGTACAAAGGGTTCAACCCTTTTGTTGCCCTCTCCCACCTCCTATAAAATTTCAAACTCAATTTTGTAAGCTGTAACTTTTGGGACACCAATGGGAAGTTGGTATAAAAAGAATTTGAAGGGTTGGTGGAGATAGGGCTGGGGTACTTAGTAAATCCTCAAGAAAAGGGAGGATTTTATTACTAAGCAGAAGTAACCAAAGAGATCAATAAGAAACTAAATTACAATGTCCAAGGTTATTAGCAAACTTAGAGTCCAAGCCAGTGGGCAGCAGGAGTCTCTTAGAAGGCGTAGTAGTAGAAGACAGGTGGGTGGTAGCTTGTATTTTGGCTTGCCAGTTAGCAATTAAGAAAGAGGAAGAAAGAACCCAATCAGTCTAACTCCCAGGAGAGGAACAAATGTGCAAAGACAGAGAAAAAATAATCTTTTCAATAAATAGTGCTGGAATAATTGGGTATCTATCTGCAAAAAATAAAATACCTTGATCTATATCTCTCACCAAATGAAAAAAATAACTCAAAATGAATCATAGACCTAAATGTAAAACTTAAAACTCTGTGAAGCTTGCTTTTTTAACAAGATTAAGCTATTTAAATTTTGAACGTGAGTCAGTTTAAGAAAAATAGAAGTGAGTATCTACAGATGAAATGCAGATATGCAAAAATCGCTAAGGTGGCAGCCCTTTGCTACAGCCTCCTTGGGCTAGGGAGGGTGTCATAGACCCATCCAGGCAGGATGGTATTTGCTACAGAGCTCCAGTCTCAGGAGCAAAGTCAGCAGCAGGCAAACCAGGAAACTCTGCTGGAACCCCTGTCATGTGGGCGTGGGAAAATCATGTTAGGAGAGGGTGAGAGGAAGCTGCTGTCTGCAGCCCAGTGCTCCCCAAATCCCAGATCTCAAGTGTAGGAGACAGGAATGTGCATCCCAGACTCCACTAGTCAACACTTGTGTGGCTACTTTTCAGCAGCCTGACCTGACAAGGGGGTTCAACTGGACAAGCCAGGACACGAGAAGCATAACTAGCAGTACCTGCAGCCTCTAAGAGACCTGAGACAGGTAGGACGAGGTGTCTGCTGCTCACCTCACATCATAAATTCTTAGTCATTGAATTATGACTCTAGTTACATCTTCCTTTATCAGGATCAAACTCCCAACATGTCAGGAATTATAAAACAGGTACGTAACAAACACTGTAACATGCCGGTTGATTCTCTAAGAAAGCAACAAAGGAAATATTCCTTCTTTCTTCACCCATAAAATTCTTATGGTGTCAGGTTACCTGGGTTCAAATTCCAGCCCTGTCTTCTCTTAGATGTGTAAGCTCAGCCTGATTTCTTAAGTTTTCTGAACCTTAGTTCCCTCTTCTGTGAAATGGAGATGACCAAAACCAAAAATGAAACAAAACAAAAAACACCTTCCCAGAGGTCAAATGATAATGCACGTGAAGGTGTTTATCTCATGGGACATTTAGCATGTAGTAAGTGCGCAGTTAGGGAGCCCAGAGGGAACTTAGCATCCCAGTCCTCTTACCCACTGCTCTAGCACAGCAAGGCCCAGAGATGTGGCCTGCCTCCCCAGGATCCCACAGCTACTGAGGGGCAGGACTTGCTTTTCAAAAATTGAGGTGCGGTCAGTTTTTAAAATTTGTTTCCTTTCCTCTCTTGGTGGTTGGGATCATTTTCCTCTTGCTTCTTCTCATACCAGGCTTATAACAACTTGCACCATATTTTACTCCTATTTCCCATGGCTTCGCTGTGACCCCACATTCTTTTAGCACTCCTACATTGTGAAAGCTGCACACCATCTGTCATTTGATGAGTGTGCAACAGTCCCTCAAGAGCTTAGTAAATGCCTTTTCTATGAAGCATCCTTCCGTTTTAAGCATAATGCGATGTTATAATTTAACTTTCAAGATCCACTCGGGATAGAAGGGATGATAAGACGGGTCCATACATAAACATTTTCCCCCCGGGCAGCAGGACTATAAATATACCAGGATGTGCCCTTCTCCAGCTAACAACAAATTATCTAATGATCTTCCATTTCCAGGCTTTTAAGAGCCCTTCTTTCCGAAAGAAAAGAGAGAGTGTTTGGTTTCTACATCATCTGTTCATATAATGGACATAAGCTATTATTCCAAACAGATTTCTAGTTACACAAACTAATACAGGTGGAAATCTCCTTTGGCTTCCCATTTTCTCAAAGTCTATAGGGTAGAGTCATAAACTACAGCAGGTTTTCCTAATCATGGCTCACCAGAAGGACAAGCTATTTGGAAATTAGGTCACATCTTAGGGCTTCCTGCCAGACACACACACAGGAATAGTAACATTATTGCCAGAAGTATCTTTGAACACAAAGAACAATGACAGATAATGTTGTTCTTCTGGGAAATGCTGAATGGCTGGATTCTTATAGGGTCTCTTAGAGTAAAGTTTCCTGACAAAAATAAAGGGGTTGTAGGGAATGTTTTCAATGTCTGCCTTTCCAGAATAGACTACTTCTCTACCCATTATATCTTATATTCCCTCTGCCTCAAATGCCTGGCATGGAGGAGGGTATTAAAATGTGCAGAACAGAAGAATGGGCCATCTCTTTTCTTTCTCTTCCTCTTTTCCCTCATCCCCATATTGCCTCAGAGAAACACATAAATAAAGATAAGCTTTACCAGTGAAGTTAGGCCTCTCCCTTTGGGCTCTGTTCATGAAATTTGTGGGACATTTGATCAGGGTTTTGTATTATCAAGTGGCCTTTGAGTGCTCAGCACACCACCCTTGTCACACCACCTGTCCTTCCTACCTGAGAACGTGTTAGAACTGTAGAATCTCAGGCCGTATCCCAGACTCGAAGTCTGAATTTTAATGGGTCCCCCAAGGGAGACTTGTGCATACGTTCAAGTTTGAAAAGCACTAATATAAAACCTACTTGAATGATGGATCCTCCAAATACCAACTGC